GTAACCAAAAAGGAAACTAACAATCCTACATATCAAAATAAAAAACAAGAAAAACATAAACACTCGCCAAATACAAAATTAACATGGAAAAAGATGAAAAGAAAATACATAAAGAAAAACGACTCAGCACAGAAAATTAAGTGGAACAAAGAAACTGTCAACAACACACTAAAAAAGACAACAAAATGACAGCACTAAAGTCATACCTATCAATAATTACGTTGAATGTAAATGGACTAAACACACCAATAAAGACACAAAGAGGAGCAGACTGGATAAAAAAACACGATCCGTCTATATGCTGCCTACAAGAGACACACCTTACACTTAAAGACACACACTAAAACTCAAAAGATGGAAAAAAATATATCAAGAAAACAACACTCAAAAAAGAGCAGGAGTGGCAATATCAATCTCTGATAAAATAGACTTTAAAGTAAAATCCACCACAAAGGATAAGGAAGGATACTATATAATGATTAAAGGGTCAATACACCAGGAGGACATAACTATAGCAACTATTTACGCACCCAATGACAGGGCTCCAAAATACATAAAACAAACTCTTAACAGCACTGAAAAGAGAGACAGCTCCACAATGGTAGTAGGAGACTTCAACACACCACTTTTGGTGAAGGACAGAACATCCAGAAAGAAGCTCAACAAAGACATGGAAGAGCTAAATGCTACAAACAGCAAACTTGATCTCACAGACATACCGAACACTGCACCCAACAGCAGCCAAGTATACTTTCTTTTCCAACATGCACAGAACATTCTCCAGAATAGACCACATATTAGGCCATAAAGCAAGCCTTAGCAAAATCCAAAGCATTGAAATATTACAAACCATCTCTTCTGACCATAAAGCCATTAAAAGTAGAAATCAACAACAGAAAAAGGAAAAAAAAATTAAACAAATGGAGACTGAACAATACCTCGCTCAAAAACTACTGAGTTATAGAAGAAATTAAGGACGGAATAAAGAAATTCATAGAATCAAACGAGAAGGAAAACACATCCTACCAGAACATTTGGGACACAGCAAAAGCAGTGCTCAGAGATCAGTTTATAGCAATAAGTGCACACATCCAAAAAGAAGAAAGGGCCAAAATCAACACATTAACCCTACAACTGGAACAAGTAGAAAGAGAGCAGCAAAAGAAGCTCTCAGGCTCCAGAAGAAAGGAAACAATAAGAATTAGAGCAGAATTAAATGAAACAGAGAATAGAGAAACAATTGGAAGCGTTAACAAGACCAAAAGCTGGTTCTTTAAAAAGATCAACAAAATTGATAAACCATTGGCCAAACTGACAAAAGAAAACTAGGAGAGGAAGCAGATAACCTGTATAAGAAATAAGATGGGCGATATCACAACAGACCCAACTGAAGTTAAAAGAATCATAACAGAATACTATGAAAAACTATACTGCAACAAATTTGAAAACCTAGAGGAAATGGAAAAATTTCTAGAAACTCACTACCTACCACAACTAACACAAACAGAGGTAGAACAACTAAATAAACCGATAACAAAAGAAGAGATTGAAAAGGTTTTTTAAAAACTGCCAACAAAAAAAAAAGCCTGGCCCGGTTGGCTTCACTGGAGAATTCTACAAAACTTTCAGAGAAGAGTTAACACCACTACCACTAAAGGTATTTCAGAGCATAGAAAAGGATGGAATACTCCCAAATTCATTCTATGAAGCCAGCAAAACCCTGATACCAAAACCAGGTAAAGACACCACAAAACAAAGAAAATTACAGACCAATATCCCTCATGAACATTGATGCAAAAATCCTCAACAAAATTCTAGTCAATAGAATTCAGCAACATATCAAAAAAATAATTCACCACAATCAAGTGGGATTTATACCAGGTATGCAGGGGTGGTTCAACATTAGAAAAACAATCAATGTAATCCATCATATAAATAAAA